TTTCACCGATTACTTAACGCTAAACATACACTAACATGTAACTAACGCCGTATATCGTATTGCGTAACGTCGTACAACTCGTTCAGCAAGTCAATCAGCACTATTCCTGATGCGCATCTGACCCGTCTAGTAAGGGATGGCATCGTCTAAATTGACTGTGAAGACTTTTGCTGTTGTTCCGTCGATTAGTCAATTCGTGAACTCGATACTGATCGGGAGCGGGTCGAGCGGGAGTTCTAGTAGAATCACTCCCTATGTTTCGAGTTTTATGTTTGGTATCGCCGTTAGGCATAATTTCATCAGACAGACGGCTGGGACTCCCAGAACGAATCTCGAAACATGGAAGTAGAGCTACTCGTTTCTTGGCAGCTGGCCTTCCTGTGTTATTGCCGTCTGCACAACTGTACACAAACAAACGAACAGACGCTCTTCCAAGGCCATAGAAGTACTGCGGCAGTACAACATACGCTGCTAATAAGAGCTGTGTAAAGCAACCGATACAGTGGCCGTCCGGTAAAACTTCACTCGCTTACTAGTTAGCGTATGAGAGTTGCCAAGGCACACCGTAACCGCCTTAAACAAACGTTTCAGCCGTTTTCGACAGATACACGCGTTGTTGACTTCGGCCTTTAGCTGCTTTTTAAGCATAGTAATAGCGCAGCCGACAATAAACAGCTGTTCTAGAAAATATTACGAAAGAAGTGTCAATGTAGTGCCTGTTGATGATGTTTCATGAGTAGCTGAACTGAAGTATTCGTAAAACACCATAACATTGATGATTGTAAAAAGTCGTTAGAAAAAATTGATCGTTATTGTAAATGACATATAGTCAAACCGATCTGTTTCATAGTAAATGCCTCCGATACCCTGTCTATTATCTACTACGACATTTCGTACCACACTTAGACTATAATCGATGTTATTGCTATATGTGTTTTTTAAAACACACGAATCCCCTTTTAACCCTATTTAAGAATTAGTAGTGATTTTACTACCTTATTTTAACGCTATAGCTGTGTTTGCAGGACCACAGAGTTCACGAGGACCGATCTAAGAGCACATCCACAGTTGCTCCTAATTAAGAAATGTTATTCGGTGTGATCACAAGCTGCGTAATATGTTGTGACGATTACCGTGCGTTAGCAAAGGCATTACCATTTCAGCGCTACGCTAAGCAGGGATCGTGGTACCCACTAATCTGGTAGCAGGGCATGCATAGATACATTTATTATAGAAAGCGGCGCACACTGGGTAAACGAGAAAACACTATTGAAAGCAGCTCTGATTTGTATCGGAAGAGGATGCTAGGCGAGGTAGCATAGCGGCGATCCCATCTGTAAACCTATACAGTAAATCTCATCTACGTGCATTGTCATATTGTTATTGCGTAGTCTAGAAATATTATCGGGCGCTTTCGACTGACTATTATCATGTGACTGTCACAATGCGTTACTCGGAGGTAAGTTTAGAAACAGTAGTGGATTGTAGGGTAAACTGTTTTAATTGATCAATAGGAAGTTTGTCAATGCTTTTTTCTATTATTATAATAGATATAGTAATATCAACCAAAGAAAACCGAAGAGCAAATGCCAGCTGCATTCATAAGATGAAACTATCGTGACTTATAAGGATTTATTTAATCCTATAAAATAAGGGTGTTGCATTGTCATTGTTTACGAGAGGAACAAAAACTGAGCCAGCGTTACTTGTGCACTCAGCTCCTTAATCGAATACATATGTAACAGTTCGGCGACTGTGCATACGGAAAGCTTCATAAGAGAACAGGTTTGTTTCATTAGATGTTGGCTAAATTTAAAATCGTTTGTCTGTAGTTTCCTAAATAGGCACTGGATCACAAGAAGTAGAAATACGAGTTTTCTTACATGGCCTTCTTCAATGTAATTATGCACTGAGGCGTGCAGAAAATTTATTTTCAATAAATGGTTTATCATCCGATCTACTTGACAGTTGGCTTTAGTCTAAATAAAGGGGCATTTTCGGTTAATCCATTTCTTGCTTCGTTCAGTTTTGCCCGCGCTTTTTGTGCGCAATTTTCGAAAATGTAATGAAAAGCCTCCTGAACATCAGCAAACCCAAATGAATTTGTTCTGTATTAACGAATCGTCTTTAAACAAATATGGAAAAATGGTTAATTGACCTTTGTCGACGATGTGTTTCTACAATTTAGATAGAAATAGAAAGCACTCGATTAATCCAATGAAAACCAGGCACAGTGAAATGGACGGTTATCATGTGGGTCATTTCGATATTATGATGATTCAATGGATATCACGGCTCAAACAAGTATCAGCATGTAATTTATATCTTGCACCGAGTCAGAATTTCACAGTTCGAATGGCGCAGTTAGAGGCAACGGAAAAATTTTCAATCTGTCCTTTGTCTGAAATTTGGTAAATTGGCAAAGCAAATTTAGCACGCGGCATACACCGCTTTCTAAAAGCAAGTTTTATATCAATTAATTTTAATCTTTAACTAATTTTTGCCTGTGTACGATGCGGTATATAATCATAGATATTATATATACGAGATAAAGTGTGCGCCACTTTACAATTTAAGAGCCTCTATTGTAATCTGTTAAACTAAAAAGAAATAAACATAAAAATTCTCAGATTGTGAAAACATTTTTGCACGTGTCTCGTACGTGTCTGGAACAATGCCTTATCTCATGTATATATATATATATATATATATATATATATACTATATATATATGGCTGTGTACTTTGTCAATGATAACAAAACCGATCCCTCGAGTTTTCCTATTATGTTTATCGACCTATGACTATCTTACTTCGCTATCAACCATTTACTCTACCTGAAGATCAAAATTCAAATAAAATTTTTCCAACCTTGAAATCGTGTTCATTTTCCGTTCTTTATATAAAATTTTATAGACTACCTCTAAGGTCTCGATATTGGGCACTCTATAACAATGTTAAACATTGTTAACGGCGGGAGAACTCTTCTGCAATACAGACAACGACTCGAACTTCTTACTGACACTTTTCTTTTTTTGGTAGATACCATTATAATAGCCGGTGTGGTTTACGGAAATATCCTGAAAACTCGGTTTTCCTGTTACCTGGTGCGTGAAAATGTGACACAGTGATATTCCACATCGACTTCATCCAGTGCCTTCTACTTGAGCTATTTATCTAGTACCATTTTGCATGAAACGATCCAACCTTAAGTTGGCATCTTCCGACCGCTAAGGTGTAATACCATCGTGCCATGTTTCGTCAAGCTGCTCAGCTATACCTGTGATTATCCACTAATTTATATTGAGCTTGAGCGTCTACTTATTTAAGGTCCGGTCCATTTTTGGCTTTAGTATAATTATCTTCTGCAGAGCGAAGGATGGGAAAGGTATCCAAAGAAGTCATAATTATTATCATAGTAATGTTTAGATATGCATCAACAGTAGTTTGTTGATATTTGGGGCACTAGCGGAAATACTTTACCCTTCGCGCTTTTGTGAATAGATGGAATGGCTATCTTCGCTACACAATATACTATACGCCTCTATCATTGCAGTCATAAATCATCATGCCTTCTACTGCAATCAGCAAATAACAGGTTTTCCTAATTTATCATTATTATTGCACTATATGTATATATATACATGATTTTGTGATGATTAGTATGCATCTAACTGCAAACTTGCGATTACATTCCTATCTGAAACCACCGGCCAAAATGCCCAATATTTATGTTAGAGTTGAAATTTGTGTTACCATCGATAATATGATGCAATTTTTTTCAACGAGAGCGCAGGCATACAGCAGCGCCTCTTCTTATGCATTGCTTAAACCATGACTACCTGACTTCTGTATATATGTATACACACATGGATAGTGCTTATTGTTGTATTCGGCTCACCGGTCGGAGACTAATTAGCTTGTTGTTGCACCTTGCATTAGTGAGATATGATCCCCTAGATCCCTTGAGCTATATCCGCTATAAACAAAAGCGTAATGAGAGACGTTGTCGCCTGTTAGGTAATTTCCCCGCTAAATTTCAAACCACCCATTGAGTTTTAACTCAGTTTTTTGACTATTTGACTGGTTGGTCGTATTTGGGTAGGTAAGCAAACCGTTGCGGTTGACCACAACCATCGTATGCACATCGAAACCATGAAAGTGGAAGGACTGGCCAATATATTCAGCGACAGTGGATACGTTTTTTTGATTGATCGACCTACGCTTGGCTGCATTTTGCTTGTTTTCACCAACTCGCCAGTTTCTTTTAGGTCTTTTCTTCTTTGATGTCATTTTTTTTGTCATGCTTCGACTTCTGGCCATTATTGCCGAAATAGAACTATCGCCGATTCCACGTTCTACAATCCCTCCGCTAACGGTGGGTTTCCTTGGCTTGCTTTGGCGCGTTCGTACAGCACAGTGCAGATGAAGCGTTAACCCAGTTATTAGCGTTTATCCTTGCTTTCCGTTCTTTTACTAGCCGGGTCTATGCTGGCCGGCCTGCCGCCTTTGCTTAAATTTAACGAACTTTGGCGGGCTGCGTCCGCCATCACCTTCGGCTTCTACCTAATGTGAGATTTTTTGCCCTGACGTCTATGTAAATGCAGGCAAAGGGCTGTGAGTGATTAAGTTGACGACTGGTGGATAGTGGACGGCGACATAAAGAAATGAGTAGAGATTCGGGGTGCATAAAGACGACATTATTTTTTTTCATTTTTTGTTCTTACTTGCTGCTATCGGTGCCCGGTGCCATTGCTTTTGGCGATCGTATTGATGTTGATGAAATGACTGTCGATGTATCGGCTGTACAGAAAAAAATTACGGAAGAATAAAAGGCGGCCAAGATTCAAACATCAATAGTGGCATCAGTAATTACAGTAAGATGATCAGCCAAAGAGGTGCAAGCTCTGTCTGTTGTACGCGTTTCCTGGGCTATCAGCCAGTGCAGCCGGAGCAACACCGATAACAGGTCAATTTGATAACAAAAAAACTGGCACTTACTTTTGCGGCTGCTATTGACCAGTTTCCCCGATCGCCGGTTCCCAACACAGAGACGCCCACAACGACGCCGCCAACACCGAGATGAATACGACAACACGAACGACGCAGTACAGCGCCCTCATCTTTTTTTTTTTTCGCCATTATGAACGGCTTGTTGTCGACCATTTATCGACGGGCCACGGGCAGGCTTTGTTCGACGTTTGCCGGAATTACCATCAACACAGTCACAACCACGACGTCCTAATGAACGTCAGATGGCCTGTAGTAGATGGTCATGTAGTTGTTGGTGATGTCCTTTTCGTAATTGGTAGGCTGATTGGCGGTATTGTGACGGCTGCTGCGGTCGACAGGCTGCAATGCTCATTAGTTGGATGTCCAGAGAAGCAATAAGTGCCGTTTTCAAAGCGGGCACGTTTGAAAATGCACGCGCATGCTTATTTATTGGGAGATATCAATCTATCAAAAGAAAGAGAGCAAAGTAGCTAAGTAAATACTGCATCGGACGGATTTAAACTATGTTATTGAACCGTTGGTTTAACCTAAACAAAATAGTCAATTTTTACCAACTCTGCTTATAATAATAGCTCAAACATTTTTCCAGCGTACTTTAAAAACGAAGTAGGTGTAAAAACAGGCAAATCTAAGGTTCGCAATAAAGACCATCTAAGGATATGTTCAACTTATTTGTAATATAGATTATTATATATATTTCACTGGTAAGTGCTAAAATCCACACCAACAAAAGACATTTTCAACGTAGATATGTCCCAGAAGCGATTATGAAGCATTTTCTAAGAATAGAACATCTATTCAGCTCTTTATGCTTAAGTTTGTTAGTAAAGAAACATTTTAAACTTCCATTGATAGTTTTGTAGCTCCTTTTTCTCTTAGAATGATTGCGTTCTACGTATATGTCGCTTTATAATACATATATAACAAATATATTGTCTTTTCAAACGAATTCAAAAGCGTCTAAATGTACCCACGTGGGGACGGGGGCAAGTCGAACGGACAAAAGACACCATTCATTGAAGGCTGACATGATCTTCGTGCGAAGCACGTCATTTTTGGGGCATTCCATGTCTTTGCTGACGTTACAACTTTAGAATTTGTTAATCTTTTATTCGAAAGATTTTTGTTAGATAAATAACAATGACAACTATACTTTTTGTAACTTGTTAGGGTCGTAGTGTGTGAGGCCGAATCGTTTGTCTCTATATCCTTAATTCACACAGTGTGTACATATATATTTACAATTTATTTATAAGCATATAGTAAAAAGCTATCATATTGTTATATGTCGTTTTGAAAAGGCTTTCTTTAGCCCAACTTAGTCTAATTTTCGTATATCTAATCTCGATCAATTACAGGTGCAGAGCGTGATAATGTTTTTACTGTAATCAAAATCAATCACGCAATGGACTTCTATCGCAGTTGCAAAAGCTTTTCTCTCTAAGTTAACCAGGTCTCCTGGTCTGTTTGATAAGCACGAACACACTATGGTTTCACCGCATTTTCTAAAAACGTTTTTTCAGGTAAATAAATAAGCTGCATCGAATATCTACGAGCTGAATTACCACATGATGCGAACTAAAACTCGATGACAAAAATATGTAAACCGTAATGTCTCTACTGTGGCTATGGAAACAAATAGAACAACGGAATTACAAAAGAAATGGACATACCACAATGACTACGTAACAAGTTGGAGGGGGAGGGGTGAGGGTAATAAAGCACCCCACGCGTGGCTTCCCCTAGAGATTTATATATATGCTAATGTTAAGACGTCTATTTGCCGCTGCCAAGGCTTCTCCTGAACCAGTAAAACCTATGTCGCGTTACGTCGGTCCTTTTCGTAAAGTCATAGTTCAAAAAATATTCTGTGACAGTGTCATGCAGAAATTCAATTAAAATCAGAAAAAGTTTTACTTTAAAGACACTTAGAAGGTTGAAGAGATATTTGAAACAAAACCAAGGCATAAGTAATTCTAGTAAATCTCTTACATAGCTCATTATATCGTAAACAAGTCGAATATTTATAGTCAAGTTCAAAAAGAGTGGCTATTGTTTCAGTAAAGCAAGCTCAATTGCCATTGCGACAATAAGTTCTCTTAAGATTCTGCAGGGCCTATAAAACAAATCAACGTAAAAACGCATACTGATAGGTCTGGTCCTAACAAAACTGAACGCTTGATTTGAAGCGATAAGTAGCTATTAGTTGTTACGACTACCAATATTAACAGTCATATTTACTTCGTATCTTGTACCAATATGTAAGTTAGAAGTTGTACTGCATGTTATCTTCTATACGACGTTCATTGCACAGTTAGAAGAGAGCTTGCCTTTTTATGTGGCAATAAATGTATTTCTTAATATGTTTATTGCTTATAAATAAAATAGTTGAATCATATTTCTTTAGAAGAAGACTCATTTAAATAGTACAACGTTAAGTCAGCTAGTTACCCATACCATGCTTAATCACGGGCTACTAATAGTAAGAATATTAGCGAGCAGCAGAAAAAAAACTGATAAAAATCGCTATAAAAAAATGTTTCTCAATCGATTTTTTATCAAACATGGGCAAAGCTGAAAATTGCTACTGCTGCTGCTGCTTGAAGGCACAACTGGAAGATTTTATCGCTTTCAAAAAAATATTATATGACCCGTCTTTTTTCATAATTTTGACAAGTATATATTTGTGTTTAGGAAAATACAGTTGTATCTGATGAACGTACGACTTCAAAACTTAAGATCAGGATGTTTGATTGGAGAGACTGTCCAACTATAATACTGCAGCGCGTCACGCTATATTGCACCTCGGGCATATTATTCAGCGATGCATCCACGTAGCTCCTAACAGATTAACACCTGCTGTCGTACATATGATGTTATGAAACCCATGTTCTATAAAATGCGCCGGTTTGCTTCGTCCCACACTTTTCAGCCTTTATTAGTCTTGGTTTCGCTCTCAATCTCTGACATGCGCGTCATACACAAGAAGAGGGCGTACACATTTCTTTCAATTTTTTTCAACTGCAGTGGAAAATCTAAATTAATGAAACGACAGCTCGGCATAAATATAAAAATTATTTGAAAGCGTACAGCGATTGCGATCGCCTACTCGAATTTTCAAGTCGAAGGGTCAAGCAAAGGGGCCTGGGCTACCTATATGATTTATCAACTAGTAGGCAGGCACTGTACCATCGTGTCAAGCACGGATTAAATATAATTGCAAGTTTAGAGCGCAGATATCTCTCAAAAGGCAGCTAATCCATACTAATACAGATATTTTATGTGCATCGATTGAAAACAATGAATTGTTGCTCACAGCCAGACAAGACTCTTCACCAACTCTGCCTTATTTTGGCCATACACTGCGATATCTAAACGATTCATTAATGCAAGAGCTTACCATTCTGTTAATTGCACCTCATATTGTACACTCTATATTATCTGCAACTTCCCTTTCCAAAACACTATTTGGCTGCTTGGTTGCCGATTCTGCTTGTTTCAGTTGGAGAACCGAAGAGAAGCAAATAATGACAGTATGTCGTAGCTGTATGTGTGTATACGTGAAACGTACTGCTGTTTATATATTATTTTAATTGTTCTGTTTATTTACTTGTTTGTTGCGAAATAGTGCATCACAGTTACGTCTTGTGTAGTGATAACATCCGCGTCTGCTGGCCTGTTGAAGCGAATTTCAGATTATTTTCTTGCTGTTAGCATCCAATCAATAGAGACGAAAGCAAAAGCAATCGCTTCCTACTAATAGCAGTAGTGTCAGTGTGGATATAATAAACATTGTTCTATGATGGATTCTGCCAGAAAACCTGATGGCTAAAATAAAGGTTTCGCCGGTGCATTGAAGTCGTACAATTTTCAAACGATTATTTCAGCTTATTTTACACGAGTTTCATGCGCCTTCCATGTATTGCCTTACGGTGGCATAAGATTAAGGTGCAACGGCATATATTGGTTTCGAGATGTACGCACTAATCGCTAACTGTGTCTGCCTGTATACGTTTGACAGTAATTTAAGTTTCAATTTTCAATTTTTTTACACCAAATATATGATCAAGATCACCAGTCGGCTAGCTTCTTCTGTCATTCCTCAATCTGATTTCATATATATATATGTGTGTGAGATAGTTCCTCATGTCGCATATAGACGTCCGTATGTATGTCCATATAGGGTCTTGAAATCACTGATATCAGGAATATACGACGGGTGGAAGCTTGTCTACGTCGTCGGTATCAGGCAGGGATATATATGCTTTTGGGTACGTACTTATCAGTGTGCTCCTGTGTCGAATTAAAGGGACCACCACGGTAATGCGGATCGCGCGAGCCCAAGGTGGAACCGCAATCCCGTTCTAGTAGTCCGGGAAGGCGAATGGACATGCAGGCATTTGAAAAACTGTACTGCAAATATTGAAGCACTTACACATCGGTTCCGGTGTACATCCTCAGGTCAGGAAGACGGTGACTTAGTGTGACGGTTACCTAGGTTTAAAGCCTAAAGAGTAGTGAAGTAATTCACGAAACCGTTACACAGGCACGATTCCTTAATGTCCTCTAAGAATGCCTTAAACATTACGGCAACCCAACGTGCCACATATATATATATATATATATATATATATATATATATATATATATATTTGCGCTTGTATCAGTGCAGCTCATATGTATTGAAAAATCATGAACACGAACAGTCTTGGTTCGTAAAAAAAAAAGCTGCTTCGAGTAAATCTACGACTGACATTGAGTCAACAATAAGCAATGGGTCATCGCGCATTTAGATGCATAGTGGAATGATAAACGAGAAGTTTATCATAAACTATAAGTTGGATCCCTCGAAATTTTAGTATCATGTCGTGGAGAGCTGGAATTTGTTTTTCGCATAATTTGTTTATGAAATGAAGTCATTAATAAGTTTGTTATTTGATGAGCTTAAATAGGCTAACATTCTTTATTTTATTTTAACTGTCTATTTTTCTAGGACCTTGCATAATGTCAAGCGCAAGTAAAGAGCATTTTGTAACGGTGGTACCTGTATCGGAGAAGGGACTCATCGGACCTATTAGTGGACCCGGAAACTCGGTCACGTTGGGGTCGCATCAGGGCCAGCTACACTCCTCAGTGAGGACATCTCATTCAGGCTCACACAGCCGGTCCTTTGCCGCGCCCAATGTTACCGTTCTTGAGGTCTGTACGTTAGATAACCAGTGTATTTTGAAATTCTGTTTCACCTATATAACCTTATGAAACACTGTTACGCGAAATAGATCAACTATTTCTATTTTACTGCTATTACCTTATTATTCTAGTGTCCCTAAAGCTCCGAAAGGCAACATTATGACGTGTCTGAAAGTAATTACTTAATGGCAGAAAGCGGTAAATGCAATGTACGAACAAACGATCGAGGCTCATTTCGTCGGACTGTGAATAGTCAGAGAGTTGGTCCTATATGCGTTGAGCTCAATTCGCGAAATGCAAATGCATTTTCCGCGATAACTTTCGCGTAAGTTTATCTAAGCGTGCAGCTTGTGCAACAAGGGTACATATATCAGTAACTGAAAAAAATAATTGAAACTAACTTTAGGTGTCAATATCAGGCAAAGTAATCATGCCCGCCCGTGAAAGCTTTGTCTTTATAGAATCTAACTGTACACATTAATTCTCCTGTCCTAAATGGGTGGATAAGATATTGGCCTCTGCCTTTCTGCGCCTCTTTCTAATAAGTCTGACGCAAGACTCTTAGCTATGCAGGACAACCTAGTACAGTATTGTGAACTGTGAATTTAGGTGCCACTTCTCGCGATACAGTCGCCGCTCATTAGCACGAACGCCTTATACTACAATCGTACTGACAGAACCTCTCTGTATCTTTGCACACGTGCTCAAACAGCTTTGAAACCGAGATATAGCAGTCATTAAAATAGCAGTTGTCACGATGCGTTAACAGCAGGCAGTGTATTCCGAAGGCTAGTTGAAGTGATCGTTAACGAATACTATTTGCTGTTTCGGCAATTTGTTCTGTCTCGGCCTGTTGCCTTGCTACTATTTCTGCTTTTCTGCTGCCGCCTTTTCGTCTTTTCGTCCGCTTTTACGCCTAATATTGTACTACTTCGTCAATACTGCAATTATTATCCTATTATTCCGTGTCTGCTATAATCGCCATAGCCATAAACAATCGACGATCTCCAATTGTTTTTAAAACGAGTGCTTACCTACTGGTTGGCTTAGTAACAAGGGTCCTCTCTTGGTATGGCCGTTATCTGCCTTTTATTATAGCTACCCATTCGTATATTGACCTGTGTTATCATATTCATGTATTACCTAGCATTAAATCAGGGAAGACTATGAACCGCAAAGGACCAATGGTCTCGACATACGGGCATGTTTTTAGTTTACTAGAACAAATAATGTGTGCAAATGCTGTTAAGTGGACGTGCAAGCTCGTATTCGTCGCAGCTCCTGTGGTCTTCTACCAAGCGGCTGACAATAATGCCAGCTGACAGTGGGGCTTTATTTACAGTAGTTGGGCTTGATATCGCTTTTGTAAACGTTGCAGTCCCGCTACATTTTACTACCGTTTTGTTACCCATTGCAGTAAAGGTGTTCATCGCAAAGTTGCAGTGGCGCTGTCCACTTAGTTGCTGTCCCAACTTCATCCATTGTTCCCCGTCGCTGAAAAGGTAGCGTCTATAGCGGCATTGCTTTTGAGTAGCCAGTGCCGCTGCTGTTTATTTGAATACTGTTGAACTACATTATGTTGTTAGTGTGCTTTACGCTTTACGGCAGCAACTTATACAGCGGCAGTGACTGGTGTTTTGGTTGTTGATGACACCTGCAATAGGGCCTTAGTAGTTTGAGCTAAAATACGCCCTGAAAGGTATCGCTTTGTTATATTTCTGCTCTATTACAACCAGTACATATATAGCAGTGATATACGGCTGTTAGCAATACCCGGACAACTACTATATGGTACATACGTGAGAAGTGATGTGGGTACCAAAAATGTGGGTCTAGACCCTACTGAGGTCTGTCTCTCGTCCTGTCCATCTAGCTGTCTGCTCAAATATCATGAACGGTAACCACACAGCGATAATAAGCAAGACACGATCCAACAAGCAGCACAGGTCCTACACGATTCGTAAAACAACAATAACAAGAGCAGTAATCGCATCAACAAAAAACAATGCCCCACGAACGCCCCTGACGACTCCAGCGTCAAGCGGCCGGCCAGCAGATAAAGCAGCAGCAACAATAAGTCTTTCTAATTTTTATATGAACGTAGGACAAGCGTAGCGCCATTACAAGCGTAAATGTGTTGACAAGCCAGTAGACATGACTAGTGCTGAGCTTGCTAACAACGATTACGTGGTGTAGGATACCGCCGCATCAAGGATACACACGGGCATAGTTGTACTATGTAGGTGTTACGATTAACACTCCCCGAACCAACCCTGGCAGTGAGGTACGCTAGAAATACAACAGCAGTTCAGGTATTGAAACTGGTGTGACCAGCTTGATTGTATTGTTGGGAACAGGAAGCTTAACCATTGCATCTGTTGTATATGTATGGCGCATTGTCGCTTCGGTAATCACTCAGTCTGCCCTTTTTCCATATGTTGACAATGTGGCTGAATATAGACACAATGCCAACGATAACAATGACAGTAGCAATAATAGCAGCGCTAATAGACAGTCCTTTTTGTATGTACGTATGTATGTGTCTACACAACATGATAGAGATACAGGTATTCCACCATGGCCTATAACTGTTAAGTGGAACATTACCATAATAATATTATAGTGTATTACACAATTCAGTTCATCTATTGACGACCTGTGACTGTCGCCTGTGCAAACAGAAGATTGAACCGACCCCATAACCGACACTAGAACAAACGGACAACATTTTCGAAAAAATAACTATTTGAAATCAAATATCACTTTGTAGGAGATGGTGACAGCATACTCAAACGTAGAAAAGATAGTTGAATAAATTGACGAGTATCATAATGTACTAGCGATTGCTTCGATGTTTATCAATGAACTAAATCATTTGCCCAAATATCATCGATTATTTCCATCTGAACAGGAGCAACACTCGTAGTAAGTGTCATAGTTGAACAAAATTCGACATTTTCTTTAAAAATACTTGGCAAAGATCGCGTGTGATTTGTCAATTCAAAATTTCCAAGTTTACAAAGCTTCCTATACTGTCCCCATACGGCGTATGTGTACAAAGCTACATTATCAATATATTTGTTTGCGGTATCTATATATTTTAGGTAAAGAACAACATGTCGCCATATTCCACAGCATCGGTGATGACTTCCAACCATGAGAGCAGCTCCTTGTTGGGTGGTAGCAATTCAATACTTGACCATGCGACGATTTATCGTCTTCCTGGAGAAAGACTCGGTATGGCACTGAAGTTTGTCGGCGGGACGAATGCTGGAGACACCGTATCAAGGGTGTTTATACAAAGCATAAACCCTGACAGTCCTGCCTCGAGGGCACAAAGTAATGTAACTCCGATCAGGTATGTCAAACAAAAAATCACAAGATCACTGTCTGCGACTAGGTCCAGTCTACGAAACACAAACGCAATATTACGCGTCATTACCATAAAGATTACATTTCTGAGATTAAAACTCAAACACAAAGTGGTGATAGTATTTCATGTTGTTTTTTTATACCGCAGTTTGCAATTAAGAAATGAACCACAAAAGAAAATGCATTTTTGTGACATTACAAAATCGAACAGTGCATTCTTAATCACTAGATCGAAATATAACCACTTAACTGTAATATTATAACGCCTATTGGTGCTTTCAGACCACGTGACAATTGTCGTTATAATAATGAGTCTAACATAGAATGCATTTGGTCATTTTTTATTGCATTCATTCCCTTTTCAGGGAAGGCGATGAGATACTGCGTATCGGTGAGCGTGAGGTGACATCAATGACCCGTTTGGACTGTGTCACGCTCTTAAGAGATTCGCCAGTCTGTATCAATTTAACTATCAGACATATGAGCGGCGCTATCCTGTCTGAAACACCACCAACACATGGGATCACTTCTGCTTTGCCGCTAACCAACGGGAGCACCGCTGGTTCCCACAATAACGCAGCTGGGTCGGGTCGGACCCAGAGTCCAAATAACGGCGAGATGTCGGTGCCACATGGCGGTCATGTTACCCGAAACAAACGAGATCCGCCACCAATTCCTCCGAGAAAATCACCGGCGGAACCTCGAACGACTTCTCTGCCTCCCCTACGGCTGGCCCAGAGCTCTGATGGGGGCTCAGGACTCAATGCTCACTCGCAGCAAATACACGTTTCGGATCGCTTCCACGTGCAGCAACAGCAACGAACTCTTGTGTACGATCTTACTTACATTATTATAGCCAATGAAGAATCATAAATATGGCCCTATTTTACTTCCATTAATACGTAAAGAGTAGAGAAACGTCAAACTTTTTTTTAGTTATTTTATCTATAAGAACACAGATTGCGCGAGAGGATTAGTGGAGTCTACATTACACGGTTTACTTAATGTAAACGACAGTTATATGCTTTAGTCTCGTCTTGTTAACGGGGCGTCATAATAAATTGTATACATCTAATAAACATATAAGGCAAGAAACTGGCACACAATTTTACTACACAAATTTGTTGGATTTGCCCTGGAACTACTATTACACCTGGGCACATATTGTAGTCTCTTAGCTCAGCAACAAATCTGTGTAACTCTTCGTTTTACAGATAATTAATTTATTCTTAAAATAACTAGATCAATTATTATTATTAAAGACCATAGGCGTCCGTGTTATACAGACCGAAGCTAAACCAACCAGTTCAAGGCTTGCGGTGTCATACACATTTAATGTCGGGGTTAGGAGTACGAAAACAGCCCGCTAATTGTTCGATTGAGTGTTGAAATCAGTTTCTGTTAGATGAAAAGGGTTAACTGGATGTTTGACCAGACAATCGCGGGGCCGGTAACGACAAACAGCGATTGATACGAACAAGCGCTTCTTTCTTCTTTACTCTCTAAAGAAATTCGTCACCTGTTTCGTGAAACTATATGGGCATTCATTCTCAAATTGGGTCTCCAGTGTATTCTAATGTCTTTGACGTCGTTGATGATGGTACTGTTAGGATCGGCTAAAAAAAGGGTAAGGGAACCGGCGTTTTTGCTCTTCAAACTCTTGAGTTGTCGCCTGCTGTACTTGAGATAGTTTTGGTGGTCAAGTCATTGTTAGCATTGGCTTCTTTGTGGATAGCATGTTGGGTGAGTGGAATAACGTGTGGAAGAGCAAGTTTGTTGATGAATGATCAAGGCTATTATTGTGCTTCGTTAGCTTCCTAAATGATTTTCGTTGTTTTGAACAGTCAGAGCTCGTCGCCCTTACTGTTTTTAGACCTTGTCGTAATTTTGTCCTGTGTTCACACATCTGTATCTATATTTGTGTTTGCGTTTGTAATGAACAGTAAATCTTTGTCGACGAAAAGCCTGGATCGTGTCGGCTCGTCTGAGGGCATCGTACGACCCTCAATACCGCCGCCGTTACCCCCACGGAAGCCGACTAAGGATATGGACACAACGCAAAAACCGGATGACTATCGACAGGACAACAGCCTTAAAGAAACCAATCGACCCCAGAGCGTACCGCCTCCTCCGCCACCACGCAAAGATGTTGACGACATTTCAATGCTCAATACCGGAACTGGCATTAATAACGGTAAGTTAAAGTAATTTTTCGTCGATTCGTCACTCTTACACGTGTTCCCTCTTCAATTGATTTGACAAAATTTACTTCGCAATCAGTAAGGTGTAAGCTGCAATAGCAAGTAACAACTCATGAGGAAACTTAATTGCGTTGTGTCCTGATCATCACAGATTTTAAGTGTTACTCATTTGTAGCTAATAACTACGTAAAATAAGGCGACGGCAAATGAAAAGTTGAGTTTCTCTTACTAGTTGTCACACATGTGAAATGAATGTGTTTTCATTAAGGCTGGTTGCAATTGCGGTCGTGATCGCACCTACTTACTTAAATAGTAGTTTCGATTTAGAATAATGTGTGTAGTGTTTATAAGTTTCTTGAACTCTATGTGGTATTTTTAGTGCTTACTAGGAAACCTTATGCAGGTTAAAAATAATCCATTTATAATATCCGTTACCTTCCGACATGAATAATAGTAATAATAACCATAATCTCTGTTCACGTTCTTAATCTAATTTACTTATGATTTTATATCCTTATGAAAGAATGCAGCCAAAAGTTCGCACTGCTCAATCAGCTTATAACTCATTTTGCGTATTAGAGCCGATTAGTGTCTAAACTAGGGTGGCGAAATTTAGCTCGAGAGTGCACATATTCCTTTACTTCCAGGTTCAATAGGCTTGTCAATGGGCCTGAAATGGCAGGACCTTTGTGATAATAAAAAAAACACACATTTATAAGCGATAATTCGGATCGTGTGTAGAACGTGTGATCGATATTGAACTTGTGTTTAAGGAATAGGTTGATACCGATTAAGGAAAGCTAACAATATACCTATCCTTGGGAACAAGCTAAGCGGTAATTGTCACAGCACGGTTAAGTCCTCCGTGGTAAGCATATAGCCCTCTAAATATGTACTTTTTTCGCAGTGCTAATGCCTAGAAGGCGCTTTCCAATTTCATACATCAACCATCTGTTCGAAATGCATTGTTACCAATTTTGTTAGTTTAGCTCAGCGAACTCAAACTATATTTGGTGCGATAACATATGCAACGGAACAAACCCTACACGAAATCCTAAAAGCGCTCGCTTCCATAGCTTAGACTATCAATAGTTGCACCGAGGTGCTACATAGGTATCATTTATGGTGTTATTTTTAAATAGCTGATAATGGGTGCTTTGAATAATGAGGAAAATAATTTATTAGTACGCTGTAGATACAGTAGATGAACAATAGTCCTGCCTCTGATAATAAAGCTCGTTCCAATTGTAGAAATTGGCATTAGGTATTCTGCTGGCACTTCGCCAAGTTTGATACCCGTGTTGTGTGTTACTCAAACTTACGGACGATTAACTTAGCGGATTGACACACAATTGGCCCTCAGTAGATTGTGGACTAGCTCAACAGGGATCATGCTGACTAAAACTGCACATAGTCCGCATGTCCACTTGGGCACAATTATACTTTGAACATGTTGTAAGCAGCAGCCAAAAGAATGTATATATATATATATATATATATGTATATTTTTCCGAGTTGGGCATACCACCTGGATACCACATTTGTCATTATTACTGCACTGCTTCTCCCATAGGTACCGCTGGCTCGGATGAGGTCGATGGCGCTCTCCCCCGACGTGTAGGGGGAATGCTGCAGAGAACGCGAAGCGCTCCTTCTGCCGATGAACGTCCACATTTTGAGCGCCCCGCCGAGGCTGAAGCCTACACCGATTTGTTCGCGGACACTGAAGATGCCGAAAGTTACGTGGACGAATCGGATGATACGGCGTCTTCGGTATCAACTGTAATCGACCGCTTGCACAGGTACATACCCATTTCAATATATGTTCTATGCAAGATATTTTCTTTAATGAAATCACAGGCCCGTGTTTTGTTGCGAGATGCAACCATTATGCGAAATATAACAACATGCAGAAATTGTCGTGGGATTTTCTGAGATTAAAACTTATATATACTTAAATATATGAGTAGTATTTAATCTAATAATTCTTTGGGACTTTGCCCCTCGTTGCGGTAAAAGCGGCCTAATAACAATAATAAACGAAGCGCATTACTACTAGACGAAAAGCAAAACAATGAATATACCAGCAAGACAAACATACCGGCGCGAGCTTGCATAGCTAGTGCATATCAACTAATGCACTTTCAGTAACCTGAAAACTTGAGTAATCTGTAATCCGAGCATCTGACAGTCAGTCGTTAAGTGATACATTCGGATTCGTGTGTACATTTTTTTTTACAGTCGTTCCTCAACGGCAAATTCAAGCTTCTCGGAACATGGAAGCGGTTACGAACGTCCCTCAGTACCTCGTTTCGCAGGCGTCGAGCTTGAGCGAGCCATGCACCCACTTGTGGATATGCAACGCGACAGAGATTTTCAACAGCAGCAACAACAAATGCAACAGTCCCGAGATGTACCTATGAAAGGAACTCAAAAGGCACCCGAAGTGCCACCCAGGCCTAGCGTTCAGCATAAAGTGAGTTTGGCTTTTTTTTAATTTTTGTTTTGAATTTTGTTGTTACAACAAAAGGTTCTCTTTTTCAATATATGTCTTAAATACGTGCAAATATGTGAGAGTAACTAGACTTGGCTTTTGAAACGGTTTCTTAATGTAATTGTATTATAAATACAATACAGAAATAATATAGACAACTTGATTTCTCCAATGTTGTAGTCTCAATAACATTTTCTACCTGTAATATAAGCTATCGTAATAAAACATAATAATTCGGAAGTATTGGTTATTCAGATTGTTTCAAGAAGTAATGATGAGACTGATGGGACGCGGCTTGATTGAGATTTAGCTAATGTCCAGCGATTTTTTCAAACTCTTCCACTGTGTAACATGATACAAAGTATAGGTACGTTAAGGGTGTGTGACTGTGACGAATTCAACATTTATCACCTCCTTGCGATGATCAATAGGCCAAATGTGGGGTTATTAGCTAAGAAGATTATTATTATTATTAAGCCTTTGGATCAGCCGAAGTGTTTAGATCATACAAATTTCTGAGAGCTACTTGGTTTAGATATCTACTAGTTAATATAATCTTCTGCAGTGACCGATGTTCCTTAAATCGAAAACGCTTTTGCGTACTAATTAACTCTCACGCAAAGCTAGCTAGTTTTGTTACACCTATTTAATAATCATAGTATCTCGTTAAGCAGAAATAAAAGTCTTCTCACTTTCACTGAATTTCATTGGAACGTCTAAAATATTTGTTCATTTACAGACAGTTTGTCGCAAATGCCAAATGTAACTTGGCTTGGAGTACACCAACTAATTTTACGTGGTGAAGTATTTACTGATGTATCCGAAAACCCAGCCTAAATTTCTGAGGTTCCTCTGTGTGCTATAACCATTATCGCGTCTGCCACCTAATAAGTTGCAAAGCTTTACTAGAATGTTTACTATTTTCATACGAAAATTAACCAAGAGAAAGGAACCAGCATGATGAAAACGCTGCATGTCTCCCTTAATTCAGGTAAATCTGCAGACCTTAATTACAAGATGGTTTGGCACACGTCGCCCGATTCAACTATCATCAATGTTCAAAATGACGCGGTGCTCTAAATTTCCAGAACTATTGATGAGTTCGTCATAAGATATGTATGCATCTCTTTTAGCTTGATTAGAACTGAACGGCTTTATCCCGTGGCAGGTAGTACAGTTAGTACACTTGCTCGACTGCAACCTCTATTTGATTTTGATTAGAAAGCCATCCCAGGACGTGTCTATAAAATCGATCGGACATCGCTGTATATTCCGGTACCCTACGCTAGACTTGTTCGTTTAGTAGAAATAAAATCCTTGATACTTGAGCTAATGTAGTGATGCCCTCTGCTTAAGGTGGAATACTAAATGTATCACCGACGAGACACCTCTCGATTTTTTAGCTTTGTGATTACACGGACAAAAGTGATTCTAACAGGTAATGTAGTTAGCACCGTTTAGCATTGTTAATACGCTAAAAGTAACGCATTCAATTTTAAGTAATGTTGAAGCAATGTGCGATTGCCTCTGTGTCACATCGCGTGCATGTACCATCGATGTGTCACATTTATCTGTATTGACGTTTCTTGATTGCTCTTTGTGGACAGCTGTTTACAGTAGAAGGGCAAACAATTAATGTCATCGAATCAGTGACTCCAACTATCCATCATACGTATGCCTAACGAAGGCGGTGCGTCAAAGTAACATCCGAAGGAGCTGTTTCCTAACATTGAACTAACAAGATCTCAGTCCTCAATAACTGTAATAATACGTTTACAGAGACGTGTTCAGATGAAGACTGTGTGTGTAGGTCCTCATAAGCTATTAGGTCAAAAACATTTGATGATGACTCCGTAAGTCATATCACCGTAATCTGTGTGACAAACTACGTAAGTGCTTGGTAACAAGGTCCCAATTAAATCTGTGTCAATTTACAACGGCGACTGTATGTTTGTTGCTTTTTGACAGGTAAAATAAGTTTAATGAAAGTGCTGACAAAAACAATTTTGATAACCAGTCTAAAGTAAGGCGATGGGCGTAGTTATTCAATCAATGATCATTTTTGACTATGAGGCAAAACCGAGAGCGCATGGGCAGGCTGTATCCAAACTGCGTGTAGAGAGAGAGAGAGAGAGAAGTGGTCTCCAATTTTAGCTAGTCACTCGGGTAACATGGTTCACCCATGGAACACAAATTATATTCGGACAGAAGCAGCGACGTCTGCCCGCATGATTTGATAATCTAAAGACTGTTCATTCAGCATCGTCTCTGCTGTTATTGTTTTTCTAGCTTGCGCTTCAAATCCAAGTGCTCTAGTATTCCAAGGTAACACGACTCTTTTTGTTCTCATTGGTGTGGCTGACGGCCCGGCCAAGTTCTATTGAAAATCGATTGAATTTCTTTCGATGAGTTATGTTTTACGCCTTTTGGTCACGCTACCTTTTTCGTTGCAAAGCATAATGATAGAATGGAGCGGCGCGGTGCCACAATGCGCGTTCCGCCTGCTCCTCATCATCATCATCAAGATATAAGTAAAGTGTAATATAAAATAAAAGAGGCTGGCTATAGATAAATTTCTTGCACATGGACCGGTATACGGGCATGTATCTCGCCATTAAATCGCGTTACATATTTCGAATGATGACGCCAGCCAACAGTTCGCTGCAATCGCTTCACTGCAAACTGTGACAACTACGACAGCTTCACCGCAGCCATTATGGACGTGTCATTAATTGCTAATATATATAGCAAGCACATTGCCGCTGTGGTTCTCATTGGTAGCTTTCGCTCATTGGTTTTAGCGAAGCTTTGAAGCGAAGAAGATTCTATGACGTAGCTTTGAGAATTCCATGCCGATCAGCCAGATATAAGCGAATATCGTTCGGTTTTCCTGATTGTCTTCCCTGTCCGGAATATCCGCTTAAAGGGGTGTGGGGTTCTGTGTTTTTTATAGCCGCTAGAGATGTTGCCGGCGGCGTTGTCGTCGTAGCTTTGTTGTTTTGTTGGCGTGTTCACCAATAAACAAACTGCAAAAACCTTCCAAGCTTTGGTAGGAAAAATACACTATTCTTACGTTAAATGCCAAAAGAAACGCGATAGAAGTGCTAGAGCGAATTGCTTCTGAGGTATATATATACATATGTGTTCAACTGATAAAATATTCGTAGTCTATCCGTTATGTTGTTAGTAAAGAAGTAGACCAAGAAGATAGAATAGTCAATCCTTTTTTATATATCATCCTTATCGATTAGTTCTACAAGTTAAAAACTAAGAAACAGTAAACGAACTATATTGTACAACAAATACAGTATTTTACATTCCATTTGCGGTATAGCTACATAAGTAGACAGTAGAATGAAGTTTTGCGTAGTGGTATTCTACAACTATCTACACTGCATGCGAGTCACTTCGTCCATTCGTATCAAGCATGATTTTTCAATTAGCGAAATTCTGGGTTTTTTCCTGCTTTATTTATTTGTTACGTAGCAGATGCCGCGGGAGGAGCTAAACTTAAGCGAGACTCCCGAGCCACAACCGGTATCACAGCTAATCGACCTAGAGGCGACAATGGAAATCGAGCATGAACCAAACCCGCAACTGGTCCTTCCGAAACAGGACGAGGCCGCGCATCAAAAGGTTGATAAAAAAAGTGGAACCGATGAGCCCCAAGGACGCGAGGAAACCCTGGAAGTCATAAACACAGACTATGAAAAGTGCCAAATCATCGCAGCTAAGTGCCAGAGTACCCTAATTGGGGATAAATGCAAGATTTCATCGAAGGAACAAAAATTCACATCTTTACATCACGTTCAAAGACAGGATGGCAGCAAGACTGTTGAACGTGAGAATAAGATTAGCGGTAATGCTGTTAGCGATCACACAAGCAATGAAACCCAGAATCAACATCAGCAAATTGTCCCTGACCCGTAAGTCTGATTTCAGTTTCGTCTTGTTATCTACTGTGTATAAAAGGCCGTTGCCTACAAGATATCGGTGACAGCTTCTACTGGACTTCAACCGTTATGCGGCTCTGATTAGAAAATCTCTTAGTATTACATGTGCTGTATTGAATTCAATTACCGACTAAGTAAATTTTCATTTTTCTATTTCTATTATTCATTGAATATGATGCCTCGCTTATTCGGCCAACACATTTACGATGTTCTTATGATTTTGATTGCTTCTCGCGTTAACTAGCTTCGCTGTTAGCGGCTGGTAACATTGAACGCCTATCCTGAAGGTTAATATGATATTTATATTAAGTCGGAAATATATATTTATATAAACCACGTTTAAAAAAATGTGATCCGCTATGGTAGCAAGTAATAAAAGATGCAAGCTCATGCACAGCTGTGTGCCAAACTAAAAAATATTAAAAGCTAATCGTGTAAGAGTACGTCAAAAGGGTCTGTTTTATGTTCGATGACACGAAATATTTAGATAAGATAAACCCAGAAGATGGTCGGTCATGCCTAATAATAAAAATATTAATCATGTCTAATGTAGACATGATATTTAGCAGCGTGACCAGTTGTTACTGTAAATAATACGGTTTCTGCATCTTATTTCGAATTTTAAAAAATTTGAGCCCATTCTTATGCACCGAGTTTCTTATAACACAATCGAAACAAGCTTTGTCCGTTGTCATGAGTGTTCAACCGCGGCAAAAAAAACCTTAACAAAAACATTAACTGCGGCCGATTGCATCTTCTGTAATGCTCAACGGCACGAACGGTTTTTGTCTATTTCTGTTTTATTTTCGGTCGTAATCATGTGCGCTGTACGGCACACTGTGACCTCCCTCTGCGATAAGTGCTAGAGCCGGTTGCAAATACAATAAGCAATAAAAACCCTATATATTGCCTGCTAAGAAATAACAAAATGGACAAAGTGTAGTAGTATCCGTTCAGTTTCTGCCGATATACGAGCCGATACAAGACCTAAACTACAGATTTTTTGCACAAAGTTGAAAATTACAAAAACTAGAGGAATTGAGTCGGCAAAAATGTGAGATGACAAAAAGCAAGAGTTAGAGACAGCTGATTAGTTGGACATCCGGATGCATCGTCAACGCCGGCCTAAACAACGGTAGCAGACCTGGCTGGGCCTGTGCAGATGGTAAGAGCCTGGCCCCAGATGTGGCAGCATTTGTCGCCTTTGCAATAGTTATACGAGCGCAACCGCGGTTGTAGACTGCCCACTCCATACTTGCTGAGTCGACTCGGTTCGTGCATAAATAACTAGACGGTGTCGGCAATCATTTCACAGTCGACTTGATTCCGGTCAGCGACGATGGCAGCTCTGACGGCCACGTCTTTTCTTTAACTTTTGCTGTAACCATCCGTTGCAGCTGCGACTTTCTGCCTCCGTCCATCTGCAACACGTCCACCACCGCTTCTACTAGAAGCAGATCCGCAGTGATGCAATTACGACTGCAATTGGCATGGCGACTATAGACATCGATGTCAACGTTGTCCTTTATCAACAATAAGCGAATCTTGCTTCTCCGCTATTGAAGGCTTCCGGACGATCTCTGGCCATTGTTCATCGGCGTCTGCTTGGAGAAATCCCCCGACTTCCCTCGCCCTCTAAAAACTTTTTGAACGGGTGGCTCGCAGATGGCTGCGTAGATGGTGTTTGCTCCGATTGCCCTGCGAACAGCGGGTGACCCGCGAAAATTTTGTACCCGGGTGGCCCTTCTGGTTGCATATACAGCAGCCCACTCATTGAACAGCAAGACAACGCTAGCGAAAAACGGAGAGCCGCCACGGTGGGCGGCAGGCACAAGAAAAGTCAACTGACTGTCTTGTCAGGTCGTGGACAAACTTCAGTTAGTGCTTCGCGTCGGTTTTGTCGCGATTCTGACAGAACTTTAATGGCAAGTTAATAGATTTCTGGTGCCTGTTTGATTTCTGTCTACGACACTGGTAGTCATATGATCGGCGGTGACTGGGGTACGACCTAGGATTAGCTTTGTGAACGAAAAATGTTTGACAGACTGAAAATATCACAAGGAAACGTTGTAACTATGCTTATCTGTTTTCAAAGCACAGAAGATCGTTGACATTGTCAACCTTCTAAGTGACATTGAGGCGTGACTGGCATTTTAGGCACGTTTTGTTCCGGCCTATGTGCCTTCCCTATGTATGGGCAGTGACATTAATCGTAACTACAAATATTTATAGCGGGCATCATTGAAAAATTTCAAAAGGATAGAAACCCGCCGAAGTTTAAAAAACACTTAATATCTCCATTATTATACTGAGCGGAATGGAATATAATTTGTAAATTTTACATCGGACGATGAAGCCTCGTTTCCCACGGTATGTTAGACAGGTTATGATCAACGTGAATCAACTGTGTAGCGATATGTTTCTTCAGTGAGTGTGTACAGTTCCAGCAATCTACAGCGGTTTAGATCCGTTCCCCTCGTACAAGGACCAAGAAGCCCTGTCATTGCAAAAACACATGAGATAATAAAGAGAAACGCCGGTCAATAGAAATCATGAAGCAGATATTTATGGTCCGGAAAAGCAGCTCATTTTCGCACGAAAAAAAATTAAAACCAAAATTGTTAAATACATTTTTAATATATAAACACGTCACTTATTACTTAACCGATTAGGATCTAATTTAATTAAGGTTAAAGGAATGCATAGTCAGTGTACTGACAGAAACAGACTCACACAATCTACATAGCAGTATCTGAAGTTCAATTTATTCAGGTGTAACGTGTAATGAACCCTGCTGATATCGCTTGTTTAGTAAACCTGATTAATACTTATAAAGAAAAAAAGCTACAGAGCTTTAGAGCTCTCAAAAGTATGCGTGCAGCCGCTTTTGCAAACTAAATAGGTCGCCATGGCTCAGACAACGACATATTTGCTATTATTTAATAGATAAAACCGCCTCGCTATCGCTGGTAGCACTTGTAAGACCTGCTATAGATGATATAGCCTTACTTAACAAGGATAACTCAAGCGAAAACATAAGCGTAATAATCACTTTATTTACATCTGTGTTCGTCTTTTAGACCGACTCTCCTAGACAAACCAGATTTAAAGGCCTGTACTCCTATAGCTCATGGTGATCAGCTATTCTCTACGGAAGATTTCAATGACATCAGTACCTTCGAAGGCCTCGAGCGTCGCTCGCCTTCAGGCGACTCGTTTAACTCCTCATCATCTTCTCAATCGGCTGATTCGGTTGTCGATGCCGGTTCCCCGTCGCCACCATCCACCGGCAGCCCAGTTCTAAATCGTTTCAAGGAAAATTCAGTGACTGTGCAGGAGCCTCGTCAGGAATCAGCTAAAGAATCGCCGGAACTAAGGAGCTTAGCACCCGTTTGCCACCGTCACGAACCGGAATCTGGTAAGTCCTCATCCATAACGCAATTATCGTGAATATAAAGCCATTTTTTTATCCGTTAATAAGGTTCTATTACCAGAATTGCCCATATAGCGTATACGCCTATTAGTCATGACTGTTATTAGCATTTTTGCCTTGTACATTAAAAACATATGAACGATCATAACATATTACGTATTTCTGGTATACATTCGTCCAATATGGCATTATTGTATAACCAATAGAACAGGACGAATCCCAGGGGTCACTAATAATTTTGTTACTCCTTTATCGTGTATCTCATGACCCAACAAACGGCTATATCTTCCAATATGCATAGCGCTCCTTTTCTAAGACAAGGCTTTAATCTAAAACCTGGAATGTACCTGATGTTCGATACTGTTTGCAACTGTTTTATGCAAAAAGAAGACTCGAATTTGTCATCAATCGGTGGACCGATTTTTCATGCGCTCTATACTGCTTTTGTCAAAGTTTCGGCCAAACAAAAACAATCTTTCATTTAAGAGAGGAGTAAGTAATTACACCTAATTAAGATCAATGGCAGCGAAGTAGACCTTCGCGCTACCAGCTTCCTTCTGTGTACTATTCGCACAATATTACTTATTCGTGCATGCAAAACGTATGGTTTTAAAGTACTTTACACAGATAAACATGATAATGAAGATGAAAGTAACGATGAGCGCTGTATGATTGTCGTCTTATAGTACGACACATGAAGGTTTTAAATGACAGAGAATAATTAAAATGCTCGAAATTGATCGGCGGGGTGTTTTAGCGGGCAGCGAACACCAAATCGCCGAACTTAGAATTAAAAAAAATAAAAGCGTGAATTTTGCCTTGCAAATAAAATTGTGGGATTCAGACAGCTGATTCTTTACACAAAAGACTGTCCATAATAGAACCCAGCTAATTTTCTACATGGCATGGATAAACATTTTGACGTTTATGTCTAAGGGTTTTATTCACTCTTACTTAATACTTTACAATATATATATATATATATATACAATATGCTGCTTGCTTAAGCCCGTTTCGAATTTACTATGCTACTCATATTTTGACTCAATTCATTCGTAGCAATGTCCTGTGCGGTCAAGTCATAATACCAAAAAGTTCATATCCCACACACTCTTTGCATTGTAGCCTGCAAAAAGGTACAGCTTCCCCAGCAGTCCTTTAAGCATTATGTGCTTCAGAGAGACTTCAAACATGTGAGAGGTATGACACTATTGAACTGTCTTCGTGCTTTAGGAAAAGCACACAATTAAATGGACTCAGTAAGAGTGCCACTGCTAATAGCTTGTACATATGCATGTCATTGCTTGTCCAACAGCTTGGGGGTAAGGTTCGTGGAGGGGGTGTGACAACATGTTAATAAGACAATCTTCCACATGAAAGAATAAGGAAATTCCTAACAGCCTTTTAACATCGACACTTCAAAGAATTCGGTGAGATCGAAAACGTCGCTTTGATATCACCACAATAACACACTCACACTTCTCCATAAAATCGTTAGCGCTTAAAATTCCATTTCTACGCGTTTGTCGTCACCTCGTGCAGCCTATAAATTACTCTAGACAGATCAGAAAAGCGAACGATAAGCCAACTGGGTCAGCCTGATTATGTTATATCACCCAATACAAAAGCGGTGGATCGCATTATAGTACTATAACCTTCGATCTTTCTTCGCCAACTTTTTTTCGTTGTCGCGCGCGAACAGATATACACACTTTGTTCCGACATGCTTTTTTACTTTGATTTTTTTTCTTGTGCGTTACACGGACCTCCTCATCAATTCGTCGTTTCATTTCGACAACTATCACCAGGTTATATATTTATTTATCAAGGTCAATCGGCACGAAAAACAACGATCGTGACTGGTTTTGAAATAATACCGCTCTATTTTAATTGCAACATAACTAGATGGACGTGTCCATTGCTCACACTTATATCATTACGATATAATTCATTTGCAGAACCGAGCTTCACACTGGTACAAGTCGTATTAGAGAAGTAAACGAGTGAACGACATTACTATTACTGTTATTATAATAATTTCGTTCGCAGATATGTATCGTACTATTTGGCTTTTAGCTGAACTCATTCATTCATTGCGTTTTCCTGATCTGCCTGTGTATTCTTGTCTCGCGTTATGACTTGTCACATTTGTGGGTCATCGATGATGAGCTTTTCTATAACCACTCTACAATAATTTGAGCTACGACTAGATTTGTACAGGTTACACAAACGAGGGCTGTGACTGTGTGATGGACGACACTATTGCTATTGATGAAAAACGTCGGTGGTAATCACGGAAGTCCGTAAAAATAGCCGCCATCGCTGATCATTTGCGTCTTAGCCGCGGCTGCTTAACACTGTGAAACAGCAAAAACTGTTAAATATTGGTACCAACAGGGGGAAAACAGTGCAGAAACGCAGATGTTTTGTATCTTGATTATCGCTGCCGTTGAATTCACTACACACGCGGCTACCATAAGGAAGTGAAGCCTTCAATCGCCTGTTCCTGGCCTAATCCACGCTGTTGCCTGCAGGGTTTACAGAGCAACAGAATGCATATAAGGTGCAATTACATACGCATATTATAGGCTATCACATGCTTTAGAATGACAATAACAGTGATAGTATAGTAGTGCTTATCAATAGTGATTATAGTCATAAATTCGGGTTCATGTTTACTAACCCCGTTGAACGTGATGAGCCGTTGGCTGAACGCGGCGCCGCAACGTAAAGTATTGCGCAATGTGACTGGATGACGTTTCTGCGTGAGGTAGACCTTATATATAGTTGTAGCTATGATTTTTGTTTTTGCATGTCTGAATAACACCTCCTATCTATTAGTTATTTGCTGTTATTGTAGAATAACTTCATTAATCTGATAGCCCCATTCATCTGGCCACATATGTCTTGCACACACAGTCAGAGAACACAACTCATGTTACCCTCTGTGCTCAGCATTGACCGCGCTCACCATTATGACTGGGTCACACCCGGAAAAACAGAAATTAATAACGTACGTTATTATATATACATATATGGGCATATATGTTTGAGCGAGGCCAACTGCGAAACAACAGACAGCCAATGACGTTAGCAAAGCCCCTGCGAACCGAAAGGTCAGAAAGTGAAAATAGTTATATCACGCCCAATAAACCGAAGTTCGACCATTTGACCGGCGCGAGCCACCGGACAAGACTAGGCAACTGAGAATTTAAGGATATAAAGCGTTTGTTTTGGTTTGTACGTCAAGCCATGATCTTTCATAAGTTACAAAAAGAAACACCAGCATCGATTGGGAGCCACCTACACAAATGTTCAAGTAGTTGTTGATGCTGGGTCAACGCGATACTGCCTCGTAGATGTCACGCTTCTAGAAGAGTCGGTTTTTGGTAGCGATGACGGCGACAACCAGGACAGTTTTTGATTTCGCATACAAAACTCTTCACCGAATCTACAAACGTAACGTCTGGTATAATAGCTGAACATAGTAGGCTTCCTTGTACAAGACAACGAATAGCTGATGCTAAACGGCGCGCGACGTCGATAACCGTGTACATAGAAGGGAATGTTTGACGTTTGAATATATTCAAATTTTACCGCCTTCGTCGGAGAGGACCGAGTAGCGGGTGATGCTCGAGTTACCACATTTAGATTATGTTGATTTAATTCAGTCACTTTGTGTTCTTCTCTAAAGAACGGAAGCAGTCGAGGCGATAACGGAGTCAGCGATTTCTTTACGTTGTAATTAGCTAATTATATAATTATGCTGACGTGAAACATGCATCACTGAAGCATATTCGTTTCGGTCGGAGCTGTGGCGAAGAAACGACAAGGCTGGAACGATACCGGCCAACACTGATACTTCATCTCAATATCACTGACAATGAATAAACAATTTATTATAACACTAGAATAGTCGAAATCGGGTTATGAGAAGCATGAAAAGAAGAAAAGTGAACACAGGGAAAAAGCGGAGGGTGGGATAGCAGTACCGCTTGGTAATTTGTACTAATAAAATGCACGTAACTAAGATGAATATTAATACAATAATCATAATGTTTTATGTAATGCATTCGTCAGACGGCCGATCTCAGAGCGCTGGCTCATGCAGAAGGAAACACATTACTTCATTGTTATTACTACTTTTACTACCTAGTCTTTAGGCGGGTCACGAAAGGGACTGTTTGTGTGGGTGGGTGTAGGAACATAGAACAGATTTAAATAATGGATCTTTCGTATCACTTTCATGTTAAATAGATAGGAATGAGGCTACTGGCTCATATCGTTTATTACTAATGGTAGTTGAAACGATCCGAAACCCAATTCTTTTTTCCAGACCCAGAGATCGGTACAGAGGTATTTGCCAGGAGACATGAAGTAAAACTTGAACGCCTCTGAATGAACATAGCAATGCCCAATGGAGCTGGAATTATCATTGACACAGATCGACTTAAAAACAATATGTTCTGCGAAACGTCCTCTAGTGGGTCTCTCTCTGTGGAAAGCCAGCATCCATACGTAAAGATAACGGCCTAACCGTGTCTCTTTTCATTTCTATTCACTTTCCAATGGTGTATTTCTTTTAGCACACACCTGAAGCGCTGATGAAGTAGTTTTGCTAGTCCTTGTTACTAGGTGGTAGGGTATATTTTACTATAATAAATAATAGTCAAAGGTGAAATTGAACTAATAGTAAAATGTATATTTTGACCAAAATGAATTATACACTAGCACAGGAAACCTGTTTCGGCGCCGTTGCTTTTGAAAATATATGGTTGGCGTTCTGTCGGAGACGATCGCAATCTACAATTTCGTTACCATATCAATAAATTGCATTGGAAAGAGAAGCTTAGGCTCTTCGACAGCTGTCTTATCCAAGCGACAAAGCCTTAAACTGCTACCTGCTAACCGCCCGAGCTAAATGCTTTTTGAGAAGGTTAAATGAAATTCGAATAGCGATCAACAATAGCCGCGATCCATCGCTG